TCGGGGACGGCGGGGGCGCGTCACGTGGCGGGCGGGGGTGGGACTGGGGAGCACGGGTAAGGGGTAGTTGCGGGTTGTGTTTACAGCTCCGCACGCGCCGCTTCCGGGTGACGTCGCGGGTTGGGCGTGCGGGGCCAGGACGGGCTCGGAACGGGATCCCGGCCGGGGAGCGGGGAGAGGTCTGGCTCGGTCACCCCGGCTCTGAGTGACCTTGGCCGGGTTCCTCGCGCTCCCTGGGCTCCAGTTTCATCCGTTGGGCAACCGTTCTTTGGGCCCTTTCTCTTGCCCTGCCCTGACCCGGCCCAGGTTACTGCGGAGAGCACATCTGAGAAGCGTTGTCTGGGGCGGGAAAGGAGCGAGGGCGGTTTGGGATCGTGTGTCAATCCCTAGGACAGGGGCGCCTGGGTGGCTCAGTGGATTGGGCTTCTGCCTTCGGCTCAGCTCATGATCTCAGGGTCCTGGGATCGAGCCCCGCAGCGGCTCTCTGCTCAGCGAGGAGCCTGCTTCCCCCTCTCTGCCTGTCTCTGCTTACTTGTGATCTCTCTCTCTGTCAAATAAATAAATAAATAAAATATTAAAAAAAAAAATCCCTAGGACAGATGTAGACTTGGGGAAATGTAGAAGTATGGAAAGTGCTCTCCAGAAAGTGACACAGGCCCTAGGGGCTTGGGCTAAAGGTCATTGGGAGGTTTTCCTATATTTCATCTGTTGTTGGCTTTAGGCTTAGTGTGAGGTCCTAATGGTGGCAGAGGGGCCCAGTCCAGATCAGGAGATGTTTTGGATGTGTCTGTTTCTAGTGGAGTGCCCCCCACTCCCTTCAGCGCCCCTCACTAGAGGAAATGCACTGGATGGAGAGAACTATGCCACACTGGAGGGGTGGGGAGAAGCCCCACCCGGGTCCTTTAACCCTTCCAGAGGTTCTGGCTTTGGTGAGTGGGAGGAGGATAATGGGAGACTGGCTGACAGGGCCTGAAGGATCCCAGGATTGTGGGGGCTGGGGCATGTCTCTTCTGCCACACAGGATCACTCAGGCTCCACCATTTTTTGCAAACCCCGATAATGCCAGATTTCTGGTCTTGTGAAGCATGGACCCGCTCCTTAACAAAGCATCATGAACTTGAATTAATGTGGATAAAGCGCCCAGCACGAGGAAGGTGGCTCTGAAAGTGGTTATTGCTGTCCCTGTTACACAGGGACAGCATCAGGGCATGCTGGAAGGGAAGTGAGCTCTGGAGCCAGACCTGGGTATGAGTCAACTCTGCTGCTTACTGACTGATGTTGGATAAGCTACTGCAGCCCTGAGCTTTGTTTCATTTGTAGAACCTGAGCTAGGAGTGTGGAGCAATCCCAGGACTGCCGAGGGGATTAATTCGCGGGCAGTGCTTAGCAGGGGCCTGGCACTCAGTGTACCTACCATTTTTAGTATGCACCTCTTTGCTTGCATCCAGACCACTCTAGGGAGCCCAAGCCCCGTTTGACTGATGAAGAAACAGGCTGGAATCCACACCCCCTTATGCTCTTGCCAGTCATTGGAGACCAGGTACCCAGCAGACTATGAGGGTGCATTTCTGGCCAGTGAGAGGGGGCACTGCCCTGGCAGGGCCTACTAGGGGATTTTTCTGGCTCAAGGAAACAGGAAGTACCTTCCCCCTCCCCCCTAACCTTAGCCAGCAACACTCAGTTACCTGTCCCGGCTTGTTCAGCTCCGGAGGAGCACTTCCAAGCCAGTAGGCTGACTGGGGTGGGACAGGTGAGGCTGGTAGGAGCAAAGGTTACTCCTCTGGCCCCCATGGCACCCCTAGCCTGCTTGTTTTCCCAGAGGCAGCAGGAAAGGAAAAAACAATCTTGTTTTTATCCAGGATCAGCCTGACTAGAGAGTGGACTTTGGATTTCTTAGCAAGCTCAGATGGGGCCCGACAGCTGGGACCAGTAGATACGGACAGGGGGACAAAAAGTTATTTCTAGTAGTGCCCATATCTCACCTGAAGTTCTAGGAAGTTGGGGGCCCTGCCAAAGTCTCCCCAGCATGCTCTGGCCTCCTCCTTTCCACCTCCATCCCCCCCACTTTTTAAAAAGATTTTATTATCTCCACACCCAATGTGGGGCTCAGCCCCACAATTCTGTGATCAGAGTCTTATGCTCCACGGAGGCAGCCAGGTGCCCCTCCACCTCCATTCCTTTAAATAGTCCACAGATCATTGGGTGCCTGATTCTGGGAGCCCAAAAATGAATAGGCAAGGATCCTGCCTGCTCAGGAGGCTCAGGAAGAAGCCTGAACCCAAGGGACTCTGCCCGAGTTCCCATTAACTGTGCCTAGTGTCTGTTTCAAAAGACCCAGTGCTGGCGGACTGAGAGGACTTGAGGTCTTGCCACTGCTTCACTTTTCTGTTCCTATACTCCCCCATTTGAATTTAACCACACTGGCCTTTGAGCCCCTAGATCATACTCAGCCCTTTGAAGTCTCAGGCCTTTGCACATAGTGTTTCCCCTGCTTGGAACTTGGGACCGACTTACCTAGAGTTTGCCCCCCTCCACCCCATTTGCTCTTATTTGTATTTCAAATCCTGGCTTAAATGTCACCTCTTCAGAGAAGCCTTCCCTGACACCCCTATCAATAATAAATCTCCCCTATTATTTCATTGCACCTCTATCCTCCTGTAGCACCCATCACATTTTGTATTTATGCACCTGTTAACCTTTTAAGTGTCTTTCCTCATTAACCTGTGTGCTCCACATCTAGGGTTCTTCCATTTGAAACCAGTTGCCTGGCTCGTAGCCTGGCTCATTGCCTGTTACATAGTAGCTGCATGATAAATATTTGTTGAATAAATAAATGAATCAGCGCAGATGTTGACAGTAGAACTAATAACAAATCAGAAAGGGCCTGTCTCCCAGCGGGGCATGGATAAGCACAGAAGAGCAAGTCCAAAGCTCTACTAAGAGGAATGTTTAATCAAACATCCAGCCCATGGAAACGACTGCCCTAGCCCAGGAAGGCACGCTCTAGGGTTGTTTTACTTTTCTTTTCTTTCCTTTTTTTTTTTTTTAAGATTTTATTTATTTGACAGAGAGAGATCACAAGTACACAGAGAGGCAGGCAGAGAGAGGGGGGAAGCAGGCTCCCCACTGAGCAGAGAGCCCGACGTGGGGCTCGATCCCGGGACTCTGCGATCATGACCCGAGCCGAAGGCAGAGGCCCCAAGCCACTGAGCCACCCAGGCGCCCCTCTAGGGTTGTTTTTCAATAACATCAGGGTCTATCCTACTTTCCTTGCCTCCCCCCCAAGCAGGGAGGCCAGTAATTTGAATTCAGTGTTGGTATATGTATATGTGTATACACATAACTGTTATGTGATTTTAATAAAGATAAGGGAAGAAAGATCACACAGGGAGGGGGGTGTCTTTAGGCCCACCTAGTGGCAAGAGACATGAAAGCTAGCACATTGGAATGTTTCTGCTTTGCAGTGGCAGGGGAGTATGGCAGGAGTATGGATTGGTACAAGTTTCAGCTTTATTACCGTTTATCTCTTGTGCAGCCTAAGTGGGGTACTTCACCTCTTCCAGCTTCACTTGTGTGTGTGTGTGTGTGTGTGAATTTGGAATGAAAATAAAAGCTACATCAGAAAATTAGATTGTCTTAACATGATGTCTGGCACATAGTAGGTGCTCAGTAAATGGGGATCTTGATTATGAAGCAGAGATTTAATCAGGCTCTTCCAAGACCTGGACTCTACTCATAAGCACATAAATCTTTCACCTCTTTTATTAATTTTGGCTTCCCAGGTTCCCTGAAAATAGGTTGTATACCAGATTCTGGCCTCCAGAGGTGCAGGACTCATTTTAATGTGGAATGTGGTGCATTTATCATTTGAGACCCTTCAGCACCTGCTGCCCTCCCCAGCTGCTTTCCTGCTACAGCAGGCTTGCCTTGGGAGACCATTTCTTTCTCAACTGAAGAGCAGGTGAAAATAATCTCCACTGGGTCTGCTTACAGAATTTTATGTGAATCAAAAGCCAGGAAAGTACATTGCAAACTGCAGGCCTTTAATCCTAACCAATTTTTTATTTTTTTATTTATTTATTTTTAAAGATTATTTATTTATTTATTTATTTATTTGACAGAGAGAAATCACAAGCAGGCAGAGAGGCAGGCAGAGAGAGAGGAGGAAGCAGGCTCCCCGCCGAACAGAAAGCCCGATGCGGGGCCCGAACCCAGGACCTGGGATCATGACCCGAGCCGAAGGCAGCGGCTCAACCCACCGAGCCACCCAGGCGACCCCCTAACCAATTTTTTAAACTTGCCTTCAGCACCTCATATGCAGCCGTCCCTTCTTTGTGCCTCAGTTTCTCTATACGTAAAATGGGGAGAGGTCTGTGGGGCTGTATAATTATGTCTTCAAAGTAATTGTTCTGGATGTAGAGCTAAAGAGAAGCCTTGAGTTCTGGAAAAGGCCAAAAGAAGCGCTTAGCTTTTCCTGTGAACCCCAACTCCTGCTGGGCTTGGGTTCCCTCCCAGCTATTGCCAGGTGGCAGGTAAGGTGTGCCCTCTTCTGGACGGGGCAGGAGATCAACCCTGGGAAGTGGGGAGAACCACGGTGGCTCAGGGAGATATTTCAGAGAGGGGGTAAATGGAAGGCGCTGGGTTCCTATAAGAATCTATATGTGAACAGATTATTAGGAGACTAAAGAGTAAGGACGTTAATGCCGTGCTTGGAATGCAGAGGGAAAGTCCGTTTGCGGTGTGGGTGATGGTTCCTCCCCTCTGGATTCAGGTCCATTTGGTTTGTCCCAGAGTCCCGGTCAGCATCTTCTCGGGGCCTCAGCGAAGGGCATCCTGGGACATGTAGTTCTTTGGCGGGCTTCCTGCGGCGCAGTCCGTCGCCCTCGGTAGCGAGGGGACTCTATTTCCCGAGGTGCCTCGTGCCCGGTGGTGGGGGGAGGGCCGCCGTGGCGTCGCGGCCCGGGCCGAGCTGGGGGTTGGGGCTTGGAGGCCGCGGTAGCCGCGGCGGTGGGCGAGTGTCCGTGTGGCCTGGTCCGGGCTATGTCCGCGTGAGGACGCCGCTGACGCCTGCGTCCAGGCCCCGGCCCGGCCCGGCTCGCCGCTCACCATGGGCTCCATTCTGAGCCGCCGCATCGCGGGCGTGGAGGACATCGACATCCAGGCGAACTCGGCCTATCGCTACCCGCCGAAGTCTGGTGAGCGGCCGGCGCGGCCCCGGGCGCGCGGCAGGGCGAGGCCTGGGGCGGAACGCGGAGTGGGCAGGACGCGCCCGCGCGGTGCGCCCCGCAGACGTGCGGTGGGTTCTACTGGGCCGTGGGTTCTACTGGGCCGTCCCTGCGCCTCACCGCCCTGGGCTCCGCGCGACCTCCACTCAGACCGTGGGTGGGGCCCTGGGCTTTCGCGTCCCGGCCCCTCCGGCGGGGTGACCTTGGGTCAGTCGCTTCGCCCCTGTGCTCCTCAGCTCCCTGGTCTGCACACAGGGGAGATTGAGTGGGAAACCCCTAGGGCGGGGTTGAGGTTCCTGGTGCGACGCTGGCGAGGGGTTAGCACGGTGCCTGGCGCTTCGCTTGTGCTTACAAAGTGGTCATTGTCAAAGGGATTGACATCACGCCATCGCCAGTTTTGGCTTTCTTTGGTGGCTTAGTGTGACGACCCGGCCAGTGGTTCTGAACACTCGCCGCGCCATCTGGACAGAAGCTTCGCTCTCTTCTGACCACCTGGTGCCTGTGAATATGGTGGGTGGGTAGGGGGAGTGGCTCTCGGCCCAAGGAGATTATGATCAATGGGGGAGAGGCTGCGAGTCCTGGTTGGAGAGGAACGTGCCTGGTTCTCTGGCCTTTTTTTTTTTTTTTTTTTGGTGGCAGGGAGACCTGAGACACCAGCGAGGAAGTTACTTGCCCAAGGTCTCAGCTGGTTGGAAGCGTCTCTGGGAGCAGAACCACAAATTGGACTCCCAGTCGATTTGTTCCCACTCTGCTTTGCTGCCTGTAAAGAGTGTGGCCTGACCGAGAACGTTAGCTTGGGTTCCTCCCTTTCCATCTTCTCATGGGGGTCATTTGCCATGGAAAGAAAAGAAGGAAAAGGACAGATAATTTGGACATGAGGGAGACTGTGAAGTTGGGTCTCCTGATCCTGGCTTCTGAAGAATGTGTTCTGATCTGGGGGTCTCCTAGACCTCACAGTTGGCCTTGGGACACCCACCAGGCCAGGTTTCCTTCAAATGTAGTCCAGGACCACCCACTGCCACTAGTGGGGAAGCTTATTCAACGTGCATCTCGCAGGCCCTGCCTCGGACCTGCTGGGGCCTAGGAACTGGCATTGAAACCCTTTCTCAAGTGAGTCTGATGTCCACTGAAATTTGAGAACCGCTCTGCCCTGATTTTGGAAGTCCAACAGGGGGTGTGTCTGGGAAAATAGAGGGGGTGGAGATAGCACAGTTTTTGGAACACCCAGAAGTGGGTAGAAGGACTTATTGCCTGCTTATGTCCCAGGCAGAAGTACGGGGCAGCTCAGCCGGGTATGGGGATCCCCTGGAGGCCGGTGGGCTGACGTCCCCACATGTGATTGAAGCGGTTGTTTGAATTCATCGTCTTCCATCTCTGATGTTCTTCCATCCTCTTAGGCTGAGTGACATTCTGGAAGCTGCTCTGCGCTCTGGGTCACAGTTTCCTTATCTCTACAGTGGGTTGATGCTTGTACACTGGTCAGAATAGTGCACCTTAAGTCCTCAAAATACTGATTGCTGTAATGGCCTAAAAAGAATATTAGGTGGCCAGTGCAGGCCGTAATAGCACCTACCTGTGGCATGGCAGAGGTATCTGAGTTTAATGTGGCATTTCCTATAGAACCTGGGACTAGGACACACTTTGCCTGGGTGTTTGGACAAATCACAAATACAAGGCCTTTATAATACCACTTTCAGATTCTGTGTGGTAGACCTTGCTAATCATTCGGGACACTCTTTGACACGAAGTCTGGACTTGGTTTCAGAATCCATTAACAAACACCCCGGTCAGCCACAACTAATCGATTGGGTCTGGCGCCCACGGTGAATGTCGTAGGCTACCTTAGAGCACCACAGCTGTGCTCTCCTGGACCTGTCCAGTCCATAAGCTGTCCTCTCGGCTTCCTTGTGCCTCGGGCCACCTTGCTCAGGGAGGTTCGGTCTGAGAAATGTTCTTAGCAGTACTTTCATATGTTTCCCCAAGGGTGGACTGGGGAGCCCCGGGGGGGTTCAGATGATTTTTAGGGGATGGCCCCATGGAGCCTTCAGGCACCTGATGAGAAAGTATCTTTTCAGGTCTCTGTTAATTTTGTTGATAATATCAAACAGAGAAAAATGATTAGATGCTAATTTTTAAAAACACATCTATAATTTTGTCCAGTCCATTCCAGCTTTTTTGAGATAAAATTGACATAACGTTGTGCAAGTTTAAGGTGTACACACTGATGATTTGATATGCGTGCACATGGGGATGCACATCCTGTCCAGTTTTCTTCTGCTTATGGAACTTTGAGCATGTACTGCAAAGGTATCTAGCTTAAATTTAATAACATTTGCTTTGTTTTCATTGTATTTATTTTTTCATTTTACTTTTTAAGTGGTTTTATTGAGATATAAAATGTGTGCCATACAATGCATTCATTGTAAACATATGATTTGTTGACTTTCAGTAAACATACAGAATTGTCCAGCGGTCACCACAGTCAGGTTTTAGACATTTCCAGCACCGTCCAAAGTTTCCTGGTGCCTCTTTGCAGTCCGTCTGTGCCCCTGCCCGGCCCCCATCCCATTACTCTGATCTGCTTTCTGTCTTTAAATTGTGCCCTCTCTGGACACTTCATAAAAAAGGAATCATGCAACATGTAGTCTCTCTTGCATCTGACTTCTTGCACTTGGAATGATGTCTTTGAAGTTCATCCCTGTTGTAACAGGTGTCTTGCACCTTATTGTACAGTACAGATATCATACATTTTATTTGCCAGTCAACAGTTGGGTTGTTTCCATTTTTTGGCTATAATGAGCATTGGTGGTTCAGTGGTAGAATTCTCGCCTGCCAACACTTATTATTGTCTACTTTTTCTTTCTTTCTTTCTTTTTTTTTTTTTAATAGGCTCTACGCCCAACATGGGGCTTGAACTCAAGGTCCTGAGATTAGGAGCCCTATGTTCTACCTACCTAGTCCACCAGGCACCCCTGTTGTCTACCTTTTTCACTATAATCATCCTTGTGGGTGTGAAGTGGTATCCCATTGTGGTTTTGATTTGCATTTCCTTGATGACTGATGATGTGGAACACCTTTTCACGTGCTTATCAGCCATTTGTATTCTGTGTGTGTGTGAGAGAGGGGGAGAGAGAGCGCGCGCGCGAGCGAGCCAGAGCGTGCACGGCATGGGCACAGGTGCCAGACGTTTATTTTTGTCTTTTTTTTTTTTTTAAAGATTTTATTTGTTTGATAGACAGAGATCATAAGTAGGCAGAGAGGCAGGCAGAGAGAGAGGAGGAAGCAGGCTCCCTGCTGAACGGAGAGCTTGATGTGGAGCTCTATCCCAGGACCCTGGGATCATGACCTGAGCTGAAGGCAGAGGCTTTAACCCACTGAGCCACCCAGGCGCCCCTGTTTTTGTCTGTTGTTCATTTTTTTAAAGATTGGATTGTTTGTCTTCTTACTCAGGTGTAACATTTCCTTATTCTGGGTACAATGATACAATTCCTTTATCAGCTCTGTGACTTGCTAACATTTTTCCTAGTCTTTGGCTTGTCTTCATTTTTCTTAATGGTGTCTTCTGAGGGTCACAGGTTTTAAGTTTTGGTTAAGTTCAGTTTGTCAGTCTTTTTAGTGGTTGATGTCTTTGGGGTTATATCTAGGAGATCTTTGCTTAGGCCAAGGTCACAAAGATTTTCTGTGTTTTTTTCCTCGGAAATTTTACAGTTTCAGCTCATGCGTTTGGGTCTGTGATCCATTTTGTTCCAGTATTTGTATATACTGCCAAAGCAAGCACTGGGATCCGTCTTGAGGTAAGGTTTTCATGTGTAGTTTCAGGTAAAACTATGTGTTCTTACTTTGCATGTGGATATTTAGTTATTTCATTATCATCTGTTGAAAAGACTATTCTTGTCCCATCCAGCTACGTCTGCACTTTTGTAAAATATGAGTTCACCATAAATATGAGGGTTTAATTCTGTACTGCGTGGCCCTGATCACACAGCTGGCCTGTCTTCAGCCGAGGGTCAGAGCGGGAGTGAGGACACTGTGGCTCAGCCGTAAAGAGAAGGTACAGACCTGCAGGAGGGGCCCGGAGTGTAGCACGTGCCCCCACGGAGGGCCTGGCTGTGGGCAGCTGCTGCCACAGCCTCACCTCCTGCTGGAGTTGTTCCTGTTAATCGTGTGTCTCTGAGGATGCCGCCTGCCCTGCCCTTGTGTTGGAGGGAGGTCGTGCTGGGACCAGGTCACCCAGGAGAAGTGTCAGAAGGGGAGGCGGTCAGACATGTGGCCTACCAGCCCAGGCAGTGGAGGGAGGGAAGGCGAGATATGCCCCAGACCTAAACCCTGTGTGTGTGTGTGTGTGTGTGCGCGTGTGCTTGCAGAGTGTTCTCAGCTCCTCCTCCTTACCGGAGCCTTCTCCTTGTGACGCCAAACTTCCGTCCTGTGGTGGAGGAACCAGAAGTCAGACGGAGCCTTTTGTCATGTGGCATCTGAGCCTGGGGTGTACGGTAGGCGAGTAACAAGTACTTGTGCAACAGGCCCCGAAGGAGACCAGCCCCATCTCCCTCATGTACGGGCTGCTCAGGCTGGGCTGCATCTGACCCCTTGGGGTGGCGGGTGGGGGTCCGGGGACTCCTGGGTCTCCTGCCATGTGATGGAGGGGCCCAAGGTGAGAGCCAGACTTCTGGTGTGTGTTTTTGTGTTGCTGGCTGTCTAGGAACGTCTCGTGAGCACTTGTGTTGGGTATACCCTTTCGGACTCGTTTCTTTGGTATCTAAAGGAAAGAGCCGAGGCCGGTGTTCAGATGAGAGAGGACAGTCTCTGTCATTGGGGGCATTCTGGGTCTCCCGGCCATCCCTGTTCCAAGGGAGGGAGCTTGTGCTGGGCCCCATGGGTTGGTGGCAGTAGGGTGGGGGGTGGAGAGAAGGGGGCTCCTCCTGCTCACAGGCGGCTCACCTTCTTGCTCAGGGACCTGCACCGTCCCCTCC